ACCTCCTTGACGCCAGTGTAGTCGGCGTCCTCAAAAAGTCCGCCGTACAGCTTGCGAGCCTTCTCAACGGGCACGGCCTCGAGATCAGCTGTGCGGCCGAGCTTCTTGTAGTTGTTGATGACATCCTGCGCGTAGTCGCTGCGGCACATCCAGTAAATGCCCGTCTCGTGAAAGTATGGCTTCCACAGAGGATCCGACTTGAAAATGTCCTGGGCCTCTAGAGCGAGCTGGCAGTAAACGATATCATCATAGTCGGCGCGCACCACCTTGTTCCAGTCCCACGACGCTGCCACACGGCTCTCTGCGTCATATGCGTCTCTATCGACAATGGTCACTGACGCGTGGGGATACCTCTGGATCAAGTGATAGGCAGTAGAAACACCAAAAACGCCTGCGCCGACAATGATGTATGAGAGTCCTTCGGAAGCCATATTGAACAATGAGATGAAAAGGAAAAATTAAAGATGTGCTGGTGTAATGGGGAATGTTCACGCCACAGCACTGGATGTCGTTGATACCACACGAAGCACTCAGACTGCCACACCCTCAAGTAGTCGTCTTGTCAATTGGATCTCGATGAAGAACAAGGTACAAGATGAGTTACAATTCTTTATTCCTCATCCCTCAAAAAGCTAGAAAAAATACTCCAAAATATGCCAAGTATTGCGGCTCACCATCCGACATCGTCGCTATGCTTGAGAGGGGGCGAGACACACAAAGTGGGTCGGCTGGAATTCCGGTCCCGGTTCATGGACCCGGTTAGTTCTCTCATGATCGAATGTTCATGACCACCAGCATACAGCATCTTTGCCATTGGCAGGCTAATAATCTGCTACAGACAGAAACAATGCCTCGTTAATGTTGCCCAACATCCATCGCCCGTCACATATTGGTTCTACAACTTTATCATTGCCATGTCATACTGCAGCCCAATTCCCCACCCTCCGGTCACGTGAGCGTATCTTGATCGTGGACCCCGGATCGGCAGGGCGGAGTAGAGCCCCGGTCATGTGACCGGTGGCCATATCTCCCAAATTGGGAAAGTATACGATAGTCTGAGATATGGACGGTATCATGATTAGCCAAGCCAAGAGGCTGGACGGTGTGTTGGACGGTGCTAAACCAGAAAGGATAGTACGGTGGCCATGTCATATATCAAAGACTGATAAAGAACCACAGAGGGTACGGGTCCCCAGTAGTCAGAGTAATAAAAGAAGCATATCTCGAGTATACTGTCATCCAGTTCACGAGAAGTGTCAGTAAACACATCTTTACACACAAACACACACAAGTCAAGATGTTTGAATTAACTTCTTACTACTCGCCAAACCTTCTCTTCTTTGGCCTGTTCGCTTCGGCGCTGGCCATGGGTCTATCGCTTCTGTCGAAATTCCTCAGTCAGAAGTCGGTAGACTCGTCAGAATCGTCAAAGCCATCCCCGGTTAGAGCCCTGCCAGCATCATGGTACACATCTCAGGATATGTACGAGCTTGAGAGGCGCGCCATCTTTTCCAAGAGGTGGCTTCTCACCACCCACAGCCTCCGAGTTCCCAACAAGGGTGACTGGATCAAGTACGAGATTGCCGGCTTCGGATTCATCATCACCAGAGACCGCACTGGCAAGATTAATGCCTTTCACAACATTTGCAGACACCGCGCCTTCCCGGTCGTCACTGAGCAAAAGGGCAACAACAGCATCCTCGCCTGCAAGTACCACAACTGGACCTATGGCCTCAACGGCAACCTCACCAAGGCCCCCGGATACCAAGAGCTCCAGGGTTTCGACAAGACCAAGAATGGCCTCTTCCCGATCCACGTCCACATTGACACCAACGGCTTTGTCTGGATCAACATGGACGCCTCTGACAAGCCCGTGCCATGGAACGAGCACTTTTCTGGTATCGACACTCAGGACCGCTTCAAGGCCTACAACTGGGATGACTACAGCTTTGACCACACCTGGGAGATGGAGGGAGAGTACAACTGGAAGATTCTGGCCGATAACTACAATGTGAGTATTATTCAGCAGAATAAACTCGAGTGATGAAAACCAAACTAACAAATTTCCCAAAGGAATGCTACCACTGCCCGACTACTCACCCCGATATCCCTCAAATCGCTGATCTCGAGGCCTACGGTGTTGTTACTGAGAAGGGATACGTTCAGCACCTCGGCCGTCCTACTCCTGAACAAATTGCCAAGGGTTTCAATGTTGCTGCCACTTACTACTTCCCCAACGCCTCCATGAACGTCTCGTAAGTTGATACCCAAACAAACTTCATCTCATCACATCTCAAAAGGAAGCAAAAGACTAACATGATGTCAAAAACACAGTCCTCACTTCTTCTTCATGCAACGCTTTGTGCCCAAGGGTCCCAACAAGTCCATCATGAGCTACGAGGTATACCGCAACAAGAACTCGAGCGACGCCGACTTTGAGGTCATCAACGACATCTACAAGCGCATCATGTCCGAGGACAAGTACCTGTGCGCCAACGCCCAGGCCAACATCAACGCGGGCGTCTTCGTCAACGGCGAGATGCACCCCCGCCTCGAGCAGGGCCCGCTCTTCTTCCAGTCCTCGGTCCGCGACGCCGTCACCAACCACCACAAGGCCGAGCGCCGCGCCGGCCGCGAGATCTGGCCCGCGCGCCAGCAGCTGCCCGGCAATGCCAAGGTCACCGAAAAGGATATCAGCTTCTGCTCTGGCATGGATTGTTCCAAGACCGAGGGCCTTGACTGGTAAAGTGTTGGATTGATAATGACTTCATGAGTCCTGAAAGTGTAACGGATGTCGTCTTCTTGTTTTTTTATATTTAGCGTAGCATTTGTCATTTGTTTGTGTCCAAGCATCTGGTGGCATCATTGGGGGGTCGGTTCAAATGTTGGATTTTGAATACTGGGTTGGTTTGGTAATCAGCGGAAACGTTGATCGAGATTGATGAATTAGTACTATCACTATTAGCCACTAGACTAAAATGATATTCTTCAACGGCTACTTGTTGGTATGATGGCTTTGATTCTACACGACTGTGATGCTCCAGAAGATGAACTCGATTTACGAAATACCATTACATTGGCAGTCAATACTGCAGACATGTCACTATGCACATCAACAGAACCATAAAGAGCCATGCTTTCAACAATGAATAAAGGACCGTGTTAATATAATATTCCAAAAACCATAAATGCCGCTCCCAGAAACCTTCGCTATGCAAATGCCACGCTCGAACCAAAACAACTTGAAAATACTAAGAGCAGAACTCTCTCGTCAAACAACATCTCTCAATCCCGAACCACAGCCCGCCTGTAATGGTCACACCGGAGCAACCAACTTAGTAGGCAACAAAGCTCAAACCGTTGGGGGCACCCTGAGAGGGGTCGAAAGAGCCAGCAAAGTCCTGACCGACCGAGACGACATCAAACTCGCCGACGGCGGCGCTCTCGAGGACAATGGTCTGGCCGGCGGGGCAGGGGAAGCCGCCGGCGTAGACAAAGGGCACGTTGGGGTCAATGACCCAGTCGGCTTGGCCGGGGACGAAGGCGATGCGGCCCAGCCCTTGGTCGCGCAGGTTGCCGCTGGCCTGGGCGGCGAGGTCGGTGATGCCGGTGGAGAAAAAGTCGAGCTCGCCCGTGCCGACGACCGAGTCGGTGGCGCGGCCCGAGACGAAGCGCGCGGCGCACGTCTTGCCGGCGACCTCGGCGGGGAAGGTGATGGAGTACAGGGTCGACAGCTCAACGTCGCCGTTGCGGGCCGTGGCGGTGGCCACGGCAAAGACGTTGTCGCCGTCGATGACGTCGTGCGAGGCGAGCTCGGTGGGCAGGATGGTGTAGCCCTCGGCCGTCTGCTGGCGGGCGCGGATCGGGGTGGTGCGCGCGCTGGCGGCGGCGATGAGGAGAGTGAGGGCAGTGAAGGACTTCATTTTGGCTGTTTATTTGGGTTTAAAGATTAAAATCTGAAAGATTGGTAAATTATGAATAGTAAAGATGGTTGATTAGTTTGCAGTGTGGATGTACTAATGTGCTGAATGATGATGTTCTGAGATTTTGTCATGATGTTGAAGTACGCATGGTCTTATATATACTTTTGCATCCGTGAATGTCCTTCAATATCATCTTGCACAGCACAGCCAGCAGACAACTATTCCGTTCGCATAGCCTGTTGTTGAAGCCATCATGAGAATTCTATTTTTGCTTCCGCTGCACCCCAATTACTACGACTGAGCCTCGAGCGGGTGGCTTGCCAAGCAACGCGACTGTGCCGCCATTGACATGGAACCATCTTGGCCTGATTGGCCGATTTGTATTAACCCGGCTTGGCTGAACACTTTGATTGGTTGGGCGCCCGAGTAGACTGCCATTTACAGTAGTTTTCTTCCCACGTAGGAATCGTCGGCTTGCACCGCCACCAAGAAGAACAAAAGAAAGGAGAGGGTCGAAAAGTCGAAGACGGGTTAGGCTATTGTGGTGAGGCTGGAGTAGTCAGAGTGCTGATATCAGCACTATAAGCGCAGCTGAGCAACGCAGCCGTCTTTCAACACTACAAGCGCAACTGGAGCAATAATATACGGGCACCCGTGATGTCGTGCATAGGTCCTTTGCCAAATGGCTCCACTAAACAAAGTACCCAACTCATCCATCAGTGCAAGTCATGGTGCTTGTTAGCCCGCCACATCACCTGGTATCCCGTATACAAAACAGCCATAAGCTGCCGCAACAGCCAAGAGGGATATGGCGGCCGCCCATTATCATATGCTATTATCAATTGATTGATTATCGTTATTATTGTTATTGTTGTTATTTGCGCCGCACATGGGAACAAGTCAGCCCAGTCGCGACGTTACTTTGAAGCTGACAAAATGTTGCGGCCGGCTGCCCTGTTGCCCGTTCAAATAGTGGCCGTTGCACTAGCAAATGCGTCCAGCGAGACACCATGAAGATACCAATTACTTAGGTAATAAAAACAGTAATCTTCACCCAGGCAAGGAAAAAGAATAATTCTCTCGATCGGGGAATTGAACCCCGGTCTCCAGCGAATTCGAGGAACGAATGACAAGCTGGCATACTGACCACTATACTAATCGAGATGAGAAGTGCTTATATGACTTGATTGAAAGACATTTGATTTAATATTGTATAAGAAGTAAAATTTTGTTTATGTCTCCACCGTATGTATAATTAAATGTCATTCATGACTCTGGCTCAACAATAATAAGGGAGACGTATGGGAGCTCGTAGGGCCACGACGGTCGGCGACGAGGACGACAAAGATCCACTCGGCGGGAAATGAGACCGGACAAGGACCGCGCAATGCAATACCAGATCAATTTGGGAAGAGTAGAGTCGTAAATCATGTCGGATATCTGCGCAGTGCCAATTACGAGGGCTGGCCTCAAATAGTAGATGAAAGAGAATGCAAGGAGTGGTTTTCTCTAAACCCACGTTACTCCGTCTAATTCCTCCGAGAGCATGACCAAACACATATTGGCGGCCAAGAGTCTTGTTCTTGATTCTAGTTTCCGTCTAGTACATGTCCACGAATAGTGGCTTGCCAAGGCCTGGGCTAGCTAATCCCGAGACTACAAGCCCATTGCAGGCAAAAATATTCATTGTGCCGGCTCGTCAGCTCGTATCGTTCAGCATTGGATATAGCACCTGATATTCGGAGCGGCAGTGACACGGCACAGTCCTAGAGTGCATGCACAACTTGCAAGACAAGCAAAAGTCAAGATATCATGATTGATTCAATAAGATTTTCAATAGACAGATGATACATATAGTATAGTATGCTCACATCCTGAGCCTGTAACCTCTTAACCAGTGTGGTCTTGCTCTTGTACACGATGGACATTCCTACGTAGCTAAGACAGCGACTCGGTGACAATGAACTCGATCAAATGCCCGTGACCGCTAGCCTGTGCCCGCGTGGATATGATGCGCCACAGCGTAAGAATGCACCTATCCTAGCCACTCGAACTGTTGGGTTACAGGTTCTGCCTCGGACGATAATCTGTGCGCCACGTCATGCTCGTTGCGGCGCGGCGCTGCTTCTGTCTTCTCGCTTCTCCATAATTGTAGACATTATGTATTCATCTCATGGCTTGCTTCGATGTGCCATTCAAATGATCAGTCATCCGCGTCCGTCACAGCAACTGTGGGCACTGGTGGTACTTCTTCGGTGACGGTTGGGCTTTTCGGTGCCTCCCCATCGACGGGCGCATCTCCGGCGCTTGCAGTACTTCCACTCTTCAATCTCCTCCGCCTTGCCCGCCTTTCTTCAGCCGCATTACGACGCATGTTGCTGCTGTTCTCTCCACCATCTTCTGCTCCGTCTGCGCCGCTACGCATATCGCGAAGCAGCATCTCTGCTCGAGAACTCAGACTATCTTCAGCTGCTTCAGCTACACTGGCTTCGGCAGCGTCTGGGGACAAAAGTCCAGGACTCATAGGTCCTTCGTTCGTATCAGCGGCACTAGTGCCGTCCGATCGCAATCCTGCAGCCTCGACATCTGGAATGTCGTTGACGTCTGGTATCTTCTGCCCACTGGCAACACGGACCTGGTGTCGGTCCTTGAGACGCGCCCTCCGCCTGCGGTCGCGCTGATCTCTTGCCTGGGGAGCGGCAGCGCGCAGCTTCTCGAGCAAGCTGTCCATGGCGCCGGCGCTTGCTGGGCTTACAGGGGCGCCGCCAACCTCGGCATTCACCGCGTTGATCTTGAGCTGAGCGGCGTGCTTGCGTTTCATGCTGGCTTCATTCCTGCGTCTCGTCTCCTCCATGGTGACGTTCTTGTCACGAGACTTCTTCCACTCATTAAGGAAAAGAGCCAATTTGGCAAAGAAGTCGCGACGAGCGCCCTCATCGGCAGGATCTTCGCCATAGAAGACCATGATATCATTGTAGGTCTTGATCATCTCTTCGAGATAGAGACTCATCTGCTCAGCCTTGCGTCGCGCATCCTTCATGCAGCGCTGAACAATTTGGCTGACGCGGTCTTGCGGGTGGAACTTCTTAGGGTCGGACAAGTTGCCACTGTCAAGCGACATTTGTACATTCTTGATGTTGTCAATGTACTTCTTCGCGTCCGATTGAAGTTGTTCAACGTTGATCTTCTGCACTGTGATGACAGATGAGATATCAACGGTGAAACCCTCCCACTCAGGATACTGGTTGCGAACAATACGCTCGACCATGTCTGCAAGTGTAGATTCGTTCTTGTCGTCTTTGACCATGCCGAGGCGTGCGAGCGAGCTGAGCTTGAAACCACGTGCCTGCTTGTTTGCGTCGTTCATATAATTACCGATATCCAGGATAAGGCCCAGAACGTTCATCAGCGACACGGAGTCTCGCAGAGACTCGGACACGTCGACAACTTGTCGGATCTTCTCGTTGATTTCGTCATAGTCGGACTCGAAGCTCTTGGTCAGAGCGAGAGCACGCATCCTACTCTTCCAGTAGTAATGCAATTCAAAGGCTGTGTGAAGGTAAATCTGATCCTCCCTAGTAAGTTCGTTTGGATCTTGTTCCCGGTCTTCTTTGCTGGCATTGGGTCCTGTCCAGTCCTTGCTGTAGGGTGCCATTTGCCTCGAAGTACTGTCGGGGATAATGCATAAATCATCTTTCTGCAAGAAGTCCATGACCACAATATTGTCAAGCACATCCTTGTCGCAGTGAATAATCATTTGCACGATCTTTTCGACAGAATATTGCGAAAATTTGGAAAGAGCAATAGCTAATTTATGTCAGTCTCGGATAAGTATTAAGAGTCTTGGAATAAGCTTACCATATGCTTTCCGCAGATCTCCGGATATGATCTGCTTCTTGTCGTCTTTCTTGGAGCCTCCCGTGCCACCAAGCTTCTTGATCTCCTTGGCCATGAAAAGTTTCTCAACTTCATCGAGAATACCCTTCTTGCTAAGTTCGATGTACTTCTCCTCTCTCTCTTCCGCGGTGGGTGCATGTGCAGCCCAGTGACTGGCCTCGGGAGCGTCGACCTTCTCCCAATGGATGTTCTTGAGCTTCTTCTTGGGCCGCACAATGGGCAGGCCAATCGACGGCGCTGCAGGGATATTACTTTGCGCAGACAAGAAATGACCAGACATGGCGCCAGGCATTGGGGGAGGAGGTGGTGGTGGCCCTCCAGGGACAGCACCCGGCATAGGCGGCGGCGGAGGTGGCGGCGGAGGTCCACCAGACCCAGGTAGCGGCGGCGGCGGAGGAGGAGGAGGAGGGCCACCAGACAGTGAGCCGGGCAGGGGAGGAGGCGGCGGCGGAGGTGGAGGGCCGCCGGTGAGCTGACCAGGCAAGGGCGGAGGAGGCGGTGGCGGCGGTGGCGCACCTGGTAGTGCGCCGGGCATTGGAGGCGCCGGAGGAGGTGCTCCTGCGAGTGTACCGGGCATTGGAGGAGGTGGAGGCGGTGAAGCGGCACCGGCTCCGGTGGCCTGAGCCTTGGGAGCGTCTGGATCGCTTGGGGTAATGGGAGATTGCGATTCCATGCTAGGATGAGAGGGAGCCGTAGTAACATCGTCGCCATCTTCAGAGTCGCTAACATCATATTTCTTGCCCTTTGCTTGGATTTCAGACATGAGATTGCTGGCCTGTCTCGGGTCCATGACTGGTCTCTTGAACTCGACCAGTCTCGGCTTCTCATAGACAATGCCTTCGTCGTCATCCTCGCTTTCAGGAATCGTATCGGTCCGGTCTTGCACTGGCTTCCTTGGTATCCTGGTTTGCCTGTTGACTGCACCAAGCACACCGCCCAGCATACTGTTGTGGAAGTTTTCAGGTGGCATCCCTGCGCCTTCTGGTGCAGTGAAGCCATCCATTTCTTCACGCAGAGCGCGCAGACGGTCTGATGGGCCAACAGTGTCACCCCAAACTCTACCTTCGAGCTTGTACTGTGTCTTTTGTCTCTCAATCTGCATCTGTAGCCGTTCCATGAGACGTTGTCGGTCCAGAATGCCTTGCATCCGGACCGGATCCTCAGTCGGTGCTCCTGACTTGGCGTCATTGCCGCCCTTAGCAGCTTGGGACGCGGCAACATCTTGGGCATCCCGAAGCATGAGATACAGTTCTCTGGTCTCGAGCTCGTAGCGCTGAGCTTCCTTTGCACGGATCGTCTGCATGTTCTCGAGCTCAGCCTTGAGACCATCTGCTTGCCGCCTTTGTGCCTCGATGAATCGAGCCTGTTCATCGAGTTGTTTCTGCATCTGAGCGACCAGACCGTCGGCACCTAGTTCTAATTTGGCTCTCATGTCATCTCGCTCAGCCATGGCGGCGTCGGCGATTTGTCGACTTTCAAGAGCCTCATCTTGAGCTTGCCGTGCCTCCGAATCAGTATGTAACTTGTCCAGCAGACTCTGCACGGTGAAGTTCAAGCTCTGTTTGAGATCCATGTTGGGAAGCCTCCTGTCCATGGCTACATAGCTGAGCATGGAGTCCACCAGCTGGAACATACGTAACCTCTCTTCGCCTTCATTTTCTCGGATGAGTAGCAAATGCTGCAAAGCTGAAATGAAGTAGTCCTGGGTTTTTGTGCCAAGAAGTCGTTGCTGAATAGCATCGACAATTTGAACGGGATCATTAAGATCCTTGACATCACCCTCAACATTATCCTTCATACTACTGCCCTCCCGTTCGAGCATGTCCTCGTAATCGATAGCTTCATTGGTACGATACCGCTCCACCTGCTTGTCGATCAAGTCATACTGGAAGGCCTCCATCTTGGTGAGGACTCTCTTGATTCCACAAGCACCAAATTGCGCCCGGAGGTGCATCCTCAGCGTGAGGTCCCTTTCCGGGGCATCGACGATCATATTGATGAGGATGAGGGTCGCAACGGCGTATTCCATGAGCAGGTTCTCCATACCGATTCCACCACTGCGGACCTCTTCGCTGGCGCCGACCAGACTTCCCATCTTGCCTCGACCATCTACAGTGACCTCGACAAGACGCATCCAGGCGTCGAATCGTCCATTCTCATTCTGTTGGACCTTGACGGCGTCCATCGCCTGAATGACCTTCATATGGCCATCGCCGTCTTCCCAGTGACACAGGAATGTGAGGACATCGCTGACCAGTTTTCTTGTA